CAGTTCAAGTGGCGCTGCAAATGGATTGGGACGATTGGTCATTGTACGTTGGTAGGCAGAGGATTTGCGGAAAGAAGTACAGTGGCGCTCTGTTCAACTCGAACAGGATCTCCCACTCTTTTTCGGCATGGACGGCACGCACACGGCTGCGGGCAGCCCCAACGTGACGGTGGCGAACGTCCTGTTGTACGGCCGCGTGCTGGGCGCGGGCGATCTGCAGCGACTGCAACTCGGCAGCTGCACGATTCCGCCGCGGGGTGCCGAGAGGGCGGTCGCGGCGGTGGTGCGGGGGCGGCTCCCGGGCCGCACGCCGAAGGCGGCGTTGCCAGCGACGCTCAGCCGACGGCGGTTGATGTTGCAGCCGAAGTCGACCACTGGCGACGCTTCTGTGCCTTCACGGCCTCATCCTCCACCACCACAGAGCGCAGACGCTGGCTTGGCGTCCGGTGGGGGAAGGGGTGACGACACTTTGCGTGGGCGTGTGTCTCGGGCAATGCTGTTGACTCTTCTTCGGCTGCGGGGCGCTGCGGCAGTCTTCTGAGCCAAAAGAAGTCTGGACTTGTGACTCCTCATGGAGAGGAGCGTGCGGCGGTACTGGTGAGTCCATTTCGTGGAGACACTTAAAAAAAAAAGGCTTATTTTCCCCTCTTATTGCTGCTGGTGCTTTGCTGGAGTAGTTGACGCCCACTTTCTTTTCTCCGTTCTTCTCTGCTCCAACGGTCGCTTTCTACATGCACTGTCGCGCGTAACGACTTTTCATTCCTGTTTGCTTTTTTTGTTGCCTACACACACGCGCGATGGAAGCCGCACTGCTGTGCGCCTCGCGGATTTGGCGCAACTGCCTCCCTGCTGAAGAGCAGGCCGAATGCTGCACGAAATGTGAGAGAGATGTGTGGGCTCATGCAATTGGGGCGATGTTTGTTTGTTTTTTTGTGCGGGTAATGAATACACACACACACACACACACACACACTGCCCTCTTGTGCTGCTGGACACGTGAAAGTAAATAAACACCTGCCGAAGTAATTTAAATTTTTTTCGTTGCCCCTGGGCGGCCTGCCGAAAGTCTACATTCTTAATAATTTGGGGATAAATCACTGCGGCCTAAGTTTAGTTTGTGCGCCGTGTTCGCCACTTTCGCTGCGTGTCTCCGTGCCCTGCTTGCTCCCGCCGTCGCTGGTTGTGCGGCTGACACGCCTCCATCTCCTCCTTCCCGCTGGAGGCACCGGCAGTCGACGACGACGACTCTTTTTTTTTTGTTCTCCGCTGCGGTAGCGTGTCAGAGACGGGGCGTGCGGCCGCCGCTTTCTGCGCCCGCTGCGGCGGGAGTGAATAGACGATGGGGCGTGTGTCTCACTGCGAGTGTGCGTGGGGGCGCCGTTTCATCGCAGCCTGCGGTGCGGTACGATGGCAGTCGGTGAGGGCAGAGCAGCCGCAGAATGTGCGGCGGACTTTGGGCCCGCCCCGTCCCTCTCGCTGCGGCTGCGTGTGTGCGCTGCTCTTGTGTTCTTCGCCCCGCGCATGTGCGTGTGTAGGGGGAGTGCGGCCGCGAGTGGTTCGTCCGTTGCCGTCGTGACGGAGGCGCAGAGGCGAAGTGGACGCCACTGCCGTGTAGTTCCGACTTCGTGCGGCCCGCGCGACGCGTTTGAGCCGCCGCTGCGGGTGTGCGTCCCTCTGGCGCAGCTGGCCGCTGTGGGTTGTTGCTGCCGGGGCCTGTTGCGCCCCGCCAGCCGCCCGTCCTCCCGCTGTGTGGCTGCGGGGGCGTTGGGGAGGTGCGTCTCGTGTGTGCCTCTCTCTTTTTCTTCTCTCTCTTTTGCGGCTGTGAAGAATTCGTTTTTTTTTTTTCAGTGCTAATGATACGGCGAACACGCACAGACACACAAACCAGTTGAGTGAAGGGAGTATCGATAATGTGGCGGAGTTTCGTGCGATTTCACGTTGCAATGCGGCGAAAGCTGTGCGTCTCAATTGTCCCGGCGAGAGCTGCCGCGGTCCGGCCGCGTGGGGTGCGCAGCATTCCGCAGCCGCAACTGTGCGTCGGCGACGCGTGTGCCCGTTGGCCGCCCGCCGGCGGTGTGCGTGGGGTCCTCCACCCATCGTTTCTTCTGATGGCGCCGCGCCGCGTGCCCGGCGGTGGCGCGCGGGTCGCACAGGGCCAAGGGAGGGAGCAGGGAAATAAACAACCGTGGACACTTACCACCAGCGTCGACGATGTGCTATTGGGGAGCGAGTCCGGCATTGAGAGAATGACGCTAAACGACTTCATTCGGAGGTACGTTGACCCCGATTTTGTGCTCGAAGGCCGCAATGTAATGATGGGGGTGTTTGCGCGTAGGCCTGAGAGGTACGTCACTGACCCGGAGCTTCGCGGGGACATTCTAAGCTTACCAGAGTACCAGCTCCTGGAGGACGCACGCAAGCTAATGGAGCATAGGGTGAATTGTCTTGAACACTGGAAGGAATTTCCACAGAAGGACACGGTTACTCTTCTTGCTAAGGGAAAACTTGACTCAGCCCTTGCTGCGGCGGAGGCAAACGAAAAGGCAAAACTGGAAGCAGTCCCAGCTGCACCGGTGATTCTGGAGGGTTTTTACGACTCTGTTTTCAACGCGAGGTGGAGTCACGTCTTGGAATTTCCCGAGGGCGAAGGGAATAATATGGTGGTGCGAATGGAGGTGAAGGCGGGCGAACCAACGCAGTCGTGGGTGTACAAGGCGAAGGGCATGACTTTTGAACTGGATGCCGCTGCATACCGGTCTCGTGCACCGCGCCCAAGGCTGCTGATACTCTCCTCGGAGCAGGGCTGGCCGTGCACATTGGCGCACGAGGGAGCTTCTACCAAAGATTTCTACGTTAACTTCGAGGTGGAGCGTGTTTGGCGGATCGTGCAGGGCGATCTGAACCAATTGTTCGAAAACAAAGGTCAAACAAAGTTAAAAATGGGGCGGCGTCTCTTGATTGGGACGCCCGGTATCGGGAAGTCGATGGCTGCCGGCTCATACCTTCTCTACAAGATGCTGCGCCACGATGATAATAAGCTCCAAGTGGTGGTGTATTGCTTTGGAGAAAATTTGGCGTGCGTGTTTGACAAGACGACGAGAACAGTGACGGAGCACGAGGGTGAGAGCGGTGTAGGAAGCGTGTTGAAGGATTTGGTTCGGCGTGGAATGCAGGGGTATATTATCTTTGATGTGGCAAAGGAAGGAGGACCACCACCGGCAACTTTTTTGCGCTCTGAAACATGGGGCATGATTGTGGTGTCCTCTCCAAAGCTAAGCAACTATAATGAATGGGAGAAACAAGTGGGTGCCATGCGAATCATCATGAATTGCCCGGACGAGCTTGATGTGAAGGCGATGTGTGCCTGGGAGACGCGCGATAAGTCTGCAGAGGAGCAAACTCAGTACTGGACGATGGTTGAGGAGCGCATGCTTAGCGTCGGACCGATTCTACGTTACCTCTTTAATAAGAAGAAGTATAGGGGACGCGTGGCGGCGGTTAAAAGTGCCTTGACAGCGATTCGAGATTTGGATGTTAGTCAGTACTTTACGCAAGGAAATGAGAAGCCGTGGTATTCTGAAAATCCGTCTCACAGGCTTGTCAAAATTGTCAGGGTTGTAGAAGACGATGTTGAGGTCTTTTACAACG